TCATTTGTAGCATACCATTTATCAAGTTATAGCATATCATTTATCAAATTTCCTTGTACCACACGTAAGGAATTTAAAGCTGTTTTTGATTAAAAAAAGCCTTCTAATTACTAGCCCAATAGAGTTCAAGAAAACAGCACATGAAATTGTTTCTATTTCTCGCCAACAAAGACTTTGAACTAACTTCCATAAAAAGATGATATTTAAGAACCCGTTGAACCGGTTTTAACAAATAAGCAGCCAGGTCAAGCGAATGACCTAGCACAGCCTGCTGTTCCGTCAAACAACTTTTCACCCTCTCATTCTTCATCAGTATGGATAAAGTATATGTCATCCTAAAGCAAATAACATATCTTTCTCATGTCAGTTTAAAAATACGTACAGAGAGAAAATATTACTTCTGGTAGTTAGCGCAGTATGTGATGTAAGGCTTAAAACCGTCAATACTTTCCGTAAAACAATTAGCCATCTAAAAGAAACCAGACCATAAGCAAATAATAAATATAAAAACTTGAGAATTCTAGCAGTTTTTTTATTATGCGCAAACACTTTCAGGCAATAAAGGAAAAATTGAAGACAGCTGAAGTTACAGGTCGTAACATAAATGCTAACTTCTACAACGTTGAACAACGCTTTATCGAGATGGTAGAGTAAAGTTTTGTTGAAGAAATAGATCTTCTCGATGCAACCAAAGGTGTTTGAGATGTCATCTAGAGTTATTTCTAATTGCTCTCTACGATCAATGAACACATTTAAGTACCCCTAAAAAGCATTAAGCAGGCATCACTGTAAGCTTCTTATAGTGTTCTTGTTTATCCTAACCACAAGAAATCTTCTAACTCCAAAACTCATTTGTCACGCATTTAACCACCAACAAAATCGACCAGCTTCATGTTAGATAAGACGTATACAGCATAAAACTCTAATTTTAAGAAATATCAACTAGAGCAACAAAAAAACCTTTCTTTTAGCTTTTAGCTATTACAAAATAACACTCTAGAAACAATTAAGGCAGCAACACGGAATACGGCTTTCACCTGTATGACGTCGCTTAGATCATTCACATAACACCTCTCTGTTTCTAACAGTTCCATAGCTATTTGATCAAACTGTGTTGTAGTTGTGCTTTGCATAAGTTTTACTCTGCGTTCTGCGGAAAGTAACGACTCAAGACTGAAAATCATAAAAAGTGTAGTATTATCAGTCCAAACACATAAACAGCTTGCGAAAAAAATTCAATTTTATCTGCTATGCTAAATCTGTAGGATGTTGATGACATACGTAACCGCTTGTCTCTCGGTGATACGATTGACTGATTTCGACGAGAAAGATCCCTCACTGCTTCTGAGACTGTGAACACTGCTTTTAGCAGAACTGTACCCAGTGGACGAAGAACTAATAAAACTCATTTGTTCCATACTTTCCTCAAAACGTTTGCAGTTTTCAACGCCTAAAAAGTTTCAAGTTATTGTTCTGGCCGCAAGTCATAAAACCGTAATGCAGCATCGTCAACAAACCACTTTGGACAGAGAGGGGGGGGGAGGGTAAGTGCATTTGGTTATTGCAGCTTCTTTTAACATTTCATAACATTTCAATTCACTTTAATTTCGTGACTGAAGTGATGTCCAAATAGAACAAAACCCATTGTAAGTTATCAAAGAATTATTGCCATTTCAAATAGTAATTAACCCAGTGGGAGCGTCTTTCAAAGGCAACTTTGTATTTTTTATGAGTTTTAGGTTTTCCTCGCGAACAATGTTTAACTTAGTAGCAGAGAAAAAAAAATGAGAGAACAGATTGGAAACTAGAGCAGAAAAAAGTTGATGAGGAAAAACAAAATTAAAAAAGTGGATGATAAAAAATAAACACGATCATAGACTTATTGCACTGCAGTTTTTGTACGGTCAAAATCTGTTACCAAGTTTGGGAGGTATATACTGTGTGACATTTGTCGTTATGTGTTCGGCAAAAACCAAGACCCGTGCTGGAAACGAAGTGATAAGCCTAAACAACTGACAGAGCCTCCTTTAAAATTTTGTCAGATAAATACGCCCAACCTTTAATTTTCCGAAACTCCTTTTTTTAAAATCATTGTTTTGTAATTGTCTGTTTTTGCCCCCGTGAGTTCCTGAAAACAACAAAGAAGACCACTTCAATAGTTGCACATAAAGCAGATTACTCAGCATTAAAATTTAAAAATTGCTGAAGTGACGTTTGCAATCCACCAAAAGCAACCGCGTAGTTTTCTATCGCTAACGTTCCTGCTCTTCCAGAAATAATTAACATACCCTACCTGCAAAGTTTTGTATGAAACAGCTCTAAGGACTTGTAAAGGATGTGTGAAATACGAATATACACAAAAAGAGAGTCATATTAAAGTCGAAATACAGCCCAGTTCATATACGTTCCAGACATACGCAGATACATGATTCAAGCAACCATTCTTTTTGGGTATCTGTATACAAGTTTCCTTCTCAGGGACTATCCGTCAACTAAATGTCTATTCTGAGCTCGTAATCAAGTTGAATTTATGAACCTTTTACCTCTCTGAACAAGAACAGTTTCTTTGATGAATAATAATCGTCAGTATATGTAGCTGCAAGTGATTCGGAGAATATCTCGAAAAGTTAGTTTCAGAAAAGTAATGAAGGAGAAGACGACTTATAAGTGACGAAGGTTGGCAAATGAAACGGTAGGAAGTATTCTTAACTAGTCTGCTACTGGGAGGTATACAAGATGAATCACTTTGATACAGGGACACTGCCACAGTTGTAGCTCATTTTTGCTAGACAAAGCTTAGCTTTAAATTCTTTTCAAATAAGCCACTTTTTTTTGAATAGAACATCTTTTGGTTGTTTGGTGAACATTTTTTGACCACCAGTCCAGAATCGGCAATTAGATTATTTAAGGAACCTGATATTTCCAAGCACATCGGGTAATTGGTGACATTAGCTGATCCAGAGGTCTCCATTCCTTTGTCCACGCTGTCAGCAACCACAGAATAATATCATATAGTACTAAAGAAAAAAAGACAACATTATATTCATCTTTAATAAGAAATCAAACGTGACCAGATGATGCAGAAGGCAAGAGAAGAGGCAATAAAGAATTAATAAAGGTTTCAAAAAATTCTAATTATTTTTAAAATGTGGATAAAAAAATATTTTTCCATTTAAAAGCAATCAGAAATTGAAAAACGTCTTAATGTGGGCAAATCCAGGCGAAAAAAAAAAGACCGAACAGGTGTTAACCGTAAACAGCAACAGAAACAGTTTTTCCCACAGCTACTCATTCCGTCTTTTTTCTCTCATTTTTCCTGAAGCTTTGCGAAAATTAGACTCAAAACTTTGGAATAATTTACGTCAGGAAAAAGATGTGGTCTTTATATAAAACGCTTCTCAGAATGACATAGTTTTTTATTACTGTAAGGTAATGAAATTATTCTTTGTCAAAGGTTTAACTAAAGAACTGGTCTAACAGACAGCCAAAAGTTGCTGAAGTCTAAAAAAAAAGATTACAGGAAAGGCTGCAGTTTATAAAAGACAGTTTTGTTTAGTAAATTAAAATTTTTTTCAGTTTTAGATGAGGTATAATTCAGAGAACGATAAAGCATAAAAAAGTTTAAAGCTTGAATTTAAGAGTTGTTTTGTGCAACGTGGAACAGCTTTTTTGGCATTTATAAAAATGTAGAAGCCTTTTCTGCCTTTTCTGGTTATATCACACAACATTCTTTATGTACGTCATTCCTCACGCATATCCTGCAAAATTTGCTTTCAAGAACCGTCTCTCAAAAGCAGTTTCTTGCAGTCAGCGACAAGTATAAAAACAAGAGATGTTTTTGAGTTCTAACATTCGAAAAAAGACAGTTCCTGATCGTTGCAAAAGCTCTGTTTTACTAAGCAATAACTGTATACTATTAACAAAATACTTCACGTAAGATTCACAGCACAAAGGAATGATTTGATTTCTATGCATTGGAGGAACAACTTCAAAAAGTTTTTCAAAAATTCTACAACTTTTGATCTGTAGCAGTTTTCACTCAATTTAGATCCAATTAGAGTTTAGAAAAATTTGGCAACTCAAAAGATAAAGGTGTGAACCAATCCACTTCAAATTTATCTTCCTTATTTTTCACCAACCCTATGGTGATGGACCCTGTCGACGTATCAGATTGCGTTGTCTTATGGCGCAACGCGTTGAGATACTCATGAAGCATCAACATTAATTATAAGATGATATTTTCAAAAGACGATTATTTATGACGTAGAAAGTGCTTGCAAAAAGAGGCCTTTCTGGTAGAAAATTACCAGTGTTGAAGGTGTGTTCTACAAAGAAGTTCTCTTTTGGTATCTGTTGAATTACACCTTTTGAGTTTACTCACATTTTTTGTGGTCGAAAAAAAGTTGAGCAGTGCTTTTTTTACTTTGTAGTTTTTTTATTGATGCTGGTAGGCATTATCAGACTATACTGTATTCGCAGCACATCATTATGCTTTTGCGTTTGCTTGAAAACCTTCCTATATTCTATACAACTATCCGCTTATGTTCTTTTTTAGAAAATGCCTTTTAAAGGGTTCTATTATTGAAATTTACTTAAAGCTCAAAGATGTTTGTTGTGAATAAATTAAAAAGCTTTGTGTTTCTAGAAGAAAACAAAAAGTGCTTATTCCTTCTCAACTATATATTTTCACGCCACTAGTTTACTGCTTTGGGTCTAAAATCATTGAGAATTTTGACTTGAATAGTCATCCCTGAAAAGTAACAGCCTTGCTTAGTCTAAATATTACTCATAAACTGAACAATTTTTTGTAAAACTGCTTTCTCTGCTAAAGTAAGATTCAACTTGTGTATTTTTTACTCAAAACTAAACTCAGAACTTTTTATAGTCTAAACAGATTTATCACATCATGAACAAAAAGTGTATTCTAAAAGGAAGTTCTCTTTTGATATCTGTTGCATTAAGCAGTGAGCATTCACTTTTTGAGTTTACTTACGTTTTTTACGGTCAAAAAGAAGCTGAGTTATTTATAGTTTTTTCATAGACGTTGTAAATTAATTTATACTAAGCGTTACATGGAAGAATTGCTTAATTCTCTAGAAGTGCTAATTTGAATGCACATAGACCGTTTAGTTGACATCTAAAGGAAATAGTTGGAAAACATATTCGGTCAGTATGTAGCAGCTCTTTTCATGTTTATGCATAATCCTGCAAAAAAAAAAGCTTTAACTACTTTACAACCAAAGCAGTACTGTGGTGTGGTGTGTTCAGATTGGTACAGCGCTTTAATTTTCAGAGATGCCTTAACAATTCTGCATTTCAGGACAGTTTTGGTCTCGAAATCTCAATTTGTTTTCTTTTATTTTTTACATCTTACAAACATTTCAGATGAAAGGTTAATAAAATTTGTAGATGAAAGACTAACAAAACTTGTGAAGTTTCTTAAGTCGTCAATCTAAAGTTTTGCTTGCGTTACTTCTTATGTAAGTCAAAAAGACTTTTTCTAACATATTGTTTCATGAAATGATAGAAGTATTCTGTCCTAAAAAAAATTTTAGTTTTATATAGATTACTTCTTTGAAGAACAGTAAAAGAAATGAGTAGTAGATACAAGTAAACTCAGTTTTGATCACTATTTTTCAGTTCTCTAAGAATTACAAAAGCATTTTTAAAGTTATCAAATTCCGTTTTACATCTTTAATATTTTTTAAATTTATAGATTTAGTTAACTAAAATAAAAATTAAATAAAAGACTTACCTTTTTTGAGAGTAGTGTAAAATCAAAGTGCAAAAATTTTCAGAATTTGCTGCATACGACTGCTAAAACATAATTACACAGTATATCAAAGTAAAGAGTGGTAAAGAGGTTCAAATTAAGGCGATACTAAGACTAGAAAAAAAATTTTTATTGGCTATAAATAATCAAACAGTATCTCATTTGTTTACTTCCAATTGTTTTATGACTTTACTCAAACGTTAAAAAAAAAAACTAGAGAGCTCTATAAAATTTTTGATAGGTGCCATGCAATGCTTGTCACTTGTATTAGCGTATCAATAAAATCGATTTCTGAAAAAAACGTAAAAATGGTGTCGCAGTTTTTGACTCACTGTTTCCCAAATTCTTCATTTTTTTTT